AACTGGAAAAGGCGAAAATTGCCCTTGTTAACTCCACTTCCCTGCCTTGTTCACAAAGTTGGGAGGAAAAGAGGGTGGTAAAGGAACAAAATGAAGGAAAAAATAAAAAAGAATTTTAAGGGTTAACGCGGGAAGTAGAAGATTAGTTGTGGGGGTAATCTGGAAAGTTCCAGGAGCTGTTTGGGATGGGAGAGATTTCATGCAACGATATCTTTGGTGAGTTTTGGGGATTGTATTTGGCGTGGTTCATCCATCAAAATTATGCCTTTTGAAAGCATAATACGATGGATGGTTTTACTTAAATTGAAAACTGCCTCAGCTGTGATTATTTAAGGAGATTTGCATATGCGTTTGTAAGAACGAAACTATTAACTATAGAAGATCAAATTAGCGTGGAATCTTCGGCATTGTTACCAAAATATGCATTTAGTATTGTCAAAGAAAAAATAGATTGTTACCGAAACTGGAAGTAGGATATTTTTTTACCAGTAAACTTTGGAGTTCTACATAAGCTTAATTCAGATTTTTTCAGTTCAAAAACTTGGGAGACATATTTTTTTTCCCTCTTGAAAGATGTAATATTTCCCATAAAACTTCAGAACTAGTGTTTATTTATTTAAATGGTTTATTATGAAAATAAAATGTAGATTAAAACGGAGGGGAATCGATTATTATAAGAAATGAATTGCAAACGCAGGAAGGAAAAAAAATAGTTGAGGGGGTTATTTAAAAGTTGTTCCAAAATCTTGTTTGAATGAGGAGCATTTAGTCTCGTCAAAGAAGAATGAATTGCTACCCAAACTTGGAAGTAGAATATTTTTTTTAACCAGAGAACTTTAGAATTTCATTTCGTTATATTCTAAACTTACTGAATTAAGATTTGTTTAATTACAAAACTTGAAAACACATTTTTTTTTCTTTTTAAGGATTTAATATTTCATATAGAACTTCAGAATTATTGTTTATTCATTTATTCGAATAATTATAAAGATAAAATTGACGGGGAGGAGAATCGAATATTGCAAGAAATAAATTGCACACACAAGAAGTGGAATATCAGTTGAGAGGTAATTTTGAAATTTGTTTACGTTCCAGAAGCTTGTTTGATCGAGAAGAGTTTTCCACCAACGAAAGTTTTAGGAAGTTTAGAGATTGTATTTGGTGCAGTTCACCCATAAAAATTATAATACGATAGATAATTTTAATTAAACTGTAAAAAAAGAATCACCTGCCTTGATTTTTTTTAAGGAGATTTGCATCAATTACGCGGGCTCTTTAACATTATTACCAAAATATTAACTTAGTATTACCCCGGACAAACGCATTGCTACCAAAATTAAGACTAAAACAATTTTGCACCCTAAATACAGATTTCAGTTCTTTGTGTTCAAAATTTAGATTTATTTACATTTTCTAAAAAACATTTTTTCTAACTAGTTTGAATATTTCATCTTAAACTTGAAACTTTTGGCTAATTATGTATTTCATTTATATTTATTTTGGAATGAAAATAGGAATATAAGAGGAATGAATGACAATCGAACGTTACAGGAAATACATTGTGAATGTGAAAAATAGATGAGGGGGGAAATTTGGAAAGTTTTATATGCTTGTCAGAGATCCTGATATTCAATTCCTATTATTAGTTCACACTCTCCCTGTATCTTGTTCAAATTTTCAATCGTTTAATAAAATACTTTTTATTCATCCACTCAACTTCAAATACATTCTTTTTAAAGTGGATGACACTCGATGTTAATGCAGTTTTTTCAAATATTAATTCATTCATTAAATTTAAATCATTAATTTTTGTTTTATATGGGAGAAAAATAAATGTAATTTTTTAATAAAAAGAAACAAAAATAAAATTTTCTTGTTGACCTAAGTAAGAATTGATTTAATTTTTTTAAATTTTATATATGACTTGTTATTAGGAGAGTTTCCAGAAGTGTTTTGTCTTCAGTGAGTTTCTTGAATTCCGTTTCGTATCGTTCAGATATATCAAAAATTTGTTGTTGTTTTTTTGTAAGCATAATGTGATGAATGATTTTCGTTAAAGTGTGAAATTAATTTCAATTACGTTTGAAGTGATATTGATAGTAGATTTGTATATGCTTTCTGGATACGGAAACTATCAACTTCAGATAATCAAACTACTGAGATAACTCCAGATAATTCTATGCTGGAAGAGATACATCTAGATACCCTTAGGAAAATTTGCCATAGAGAAGCCTATGGTAATCTATGGCAACCTATGGCTACCATAGAAATTTGTATGACAAGATACCATACGCCTATGGTTACCATAGAGATTTGTATGGCACAACTCCATAAGCCTATGGCTACCATAGAAATTCGTATGGCAAGATACCATACACCTATGGTAACCATAGAAATTTGTATGGCAAAACCCCATAAGCCTATGGCTACCCTAGAAATTTGTATGGCAAGATACCATAGGCCAATGGTAACCATAGAGGCCTGTATGGCATTTATATGGCACGTCACCATTCTCCTATGTCAACCATAAAAATTTGTATGGCAGTATACCATAGGCCAATGGTTACCATAAAGATTTGTATGGCAGTATACCATAGGCCAATGATAACCATAAGGATTTGTATGGCACGTACTATTGGCCTATGGCAAACATAGAAATTTGTAAGGCAGTATACCATAGGCCAATGGTAACCATAAAGATTTGTATGGCAGTATACCATAGGGAAAAGCTGATATAGATCCCCACCAACGAAACAACGTCTCCTATGGAGTCCTCAAAAACATCTTCTAAAAGAAAGAAATATCCATTTTCTCACCCCGAAGTTAATTAAATTCAACATGTTATCCCACAAGGCATTCCTGGTGAGTCTTTTCCGGCCTCCTGGTGGCCAATTTTTCCATTTTTGAGTGTTTGAAATCCGACGTTCCATTGATTTAGGCTTAGAGTATCAGACCGCCATATTAACGTGTCATCCACTACAAGTGGAATCTTTCGCTAACTTAGGCTACTTATTTTAATATTTTTTTCGATCTCATTCTTGGTCAAAAACATTTTATTGCAAACGCCTATGCGATTATCTATCTGAATTTATTAAGTTTTTAATTTCCGGCTGTCTGGTACTTTTATTATCGGTATCACATATATCAATATCAAAGTCAGTATTTACATTCTCATTAGTTTTTGATTTTAATTCCACTTAGGTTCTTGCAATGCATTTTTACATTATCTTACATATGTTAGGGCTTAAAATATTTTTATTTCGTGTTTAATTTTTGCTGGCTATTAAATTGTTCTTTATCATGTCTCTGCGTTTTACTATCTTTCAACTAATATTTCTAAAGTATCCACATATACTTGTACAATGTTCTGTTTCATATTTATACATAGCTTAGGGTCATCACTTAACTAGATTTGCTGGATTACTGGTTGACAATTATTTTGCTTCAATATCATCAATGGGACAGTCCCTGGCCATATCATCTGCTGCTGTTACCAAAAATGCTTTTAACAATTTAATCTTTCCTTAAGTGTAAAACTTTTTCGTCATAGCAATTTCCTATATCCAATAAATTTTTATTTACTATCCCTGACCAAGTGTCAATTTGTCAATAGCAATTATTAATTTTTTCCAATTTTAATCATGTCTTAAACATGATTTATATTTACCAATGTTTCTATATTGCGTTCTCCTTTCTAACTGTTTCTTAACACAACTCAACATAAATTTTCTGAGTTAGCTAAGTATCACATATCAAAATTTAAAAAATTTTCATACTCGCTCCGACCATCGGACCATTATTTTACTTCGCTTTCTTTCAGGTTCCTTTAATATCTGCCGCTTATCTAACTAATTATGATACCAATCAATCAAATTAACGTTTTTTATACTCGCTCTGACCTCCACACCCACCTTCTATTTTCTTGTTTTTTACAGCTTTAACAAATATTGGTTGATTGTACTCAATATATTTTGTTCCTAATCAGCATAACCAATATTTTCCCCACTCGCTCCGACCACCAGACCCATTTTCTAACGGTTAGTACTAACCGTTCAAAATTTATTTGAATAAGAACAGCATTCAGAAAGGATTCTGCAAGTAAAACAGGGGAAGTTTATCAAAGAAATTTTAAAAGAAAGCTTTCTGTATATATATTTATTCTACAATTATTAAGTTTTGCATTTTTAATATCCATTGCGAGAGATTCTTGCAAGTAATTATTTTTTGATGTATGGTAAAATATCAACGAGAAATGTTGCCATAGCTGTATGGAAAAATGTTTCTTCATCAGATGTGGCACATCTTAGTTTTATGGCAAGAATATGCCATATAAAAAATGCCATAGGATATTCCTATGGGGTTTTGCCTATGGTAAAATTTTGCCATATACGTATGACAAAATTTTGCCATACATCTATGGCAAAAATATGCCATATAAAAAATGCCATAGGATATTCCTATGGGGTTTTGCCTATGGCAAAATTTTGCCATACATGTATGGCAAAACCACATAGGAATGTCCTATGGCATTTTTTATGGCAAATCTATGGCAAACTTTCCTAAGGGTAATCAAACCTGCAACATCCAAATTATGCAACAAGAATTACTACCCAGTGTAATTATCACTGTTGCTAAATTAGTACTATTGCTAAATTAGAAAAAAATTTAGAGTTGTAATTCTTTGTATTCTTTTAAATTTACTTATTGGTACATTTCTCTTTTTTTTCATACAGGATTCAATATTTCCTCTAAAACCCAAAACGTTTTTTCTTCCTTTTTTAAATCTTGGAAATGGCAAAAATCTAACAGTGAATTATATTAAAATAATATTTAAAAAAATAATAATACGAGAAATATAAATGCTATTATTAATTTCTACAAGTTAAAAAAACCTCCTTCTCAGTGTTTATATTTACAAGATGTTCAGTCGTACGGAATCAATCACGCTGAAAAACTTTATAATTCAATTATTTTCCATATCACGTACAATTTACACCTACAGATGGCACTGTAAGCAGCCTTGTCACACATGGCCACTTTACCACACATAGACACTTCTTCTAAATTTGTAGGAGCTGCTGCAAATCGGAAATTAAGAGGGCTGTATAAATTGCTTACTTACCAAAACATTTTTTTAATAAGAAGCTTAGTGTTTCACTGAAGACATAATTTCAAAATTCAAAACTTACCACATTGGCCATGATGTTGGACATATATTCTAATTTGTTGCGAACATGAGGCCATCCGCAATTGGCACTCACTGGAATATGTTACACCGTCACTTCCACAAACTGGAGCAAAAATATCGGAACAGGAATCTTGGCACTGACAGTAACCCTGTTGAGTTTTTTCATCAAATAAGCATTCTGCACCAAATGAACAATACATCAATTCACAGGGCTCTGCAAAGAAAAAAAATTATAGACTGTATTACTTCAAAAAATTTCCAGTATTTAAGGGCTATACATCTGCATAAAAATAATATATTTTCATATACAGTCGGACCTCTATTTAACGAAGTCGCTTAATCCCGATAAGTTCGTTATATGGAAAATTCGTTACATAGAAAATCCCCTTTCGAAATACTTAAACAACGCAAAACAGGTTTTAAATTTTTAAGACTTAGACATAATTAAAATAGCAATTAATACACCTTTATCTTGTAAAGTAGTATCTACTATTTATTTTATGAGTATTAACCATAAAAGAAATATGTATTGAAAGCAAGAATAGAGCAAAACATAATCCACTGTTACACTTTCATGCTACATGCATCTTCAACTAAAAAAGCTAAATTTATGTATACATAGCTGCATTTATTATAAAAATAATTTTAAACATACATTACGACATGCGTTCTTAAGTTTAATTTTTACTGATAAAATCCGTTAATTTTGTCCGAGTTTTTCGTTTGAAATGCAAACAAAAAGGGAAAAGGATTTTACTGCTTTCTTTAAAAGTAAGTCCTTTCTGCAATAAAATACGTTAACAAGTTTGAAATGTTCTGAAATATTTTGGGAAATAGGTACAGTGGATCTCAGAGAAAAGTGCGTTAGATAGAAAATTCACTTTGTTATTTGGTTATAAATCTATAAATGTTATTTTACGAAGAAATTTCAAAATGCTCATTGTTCCTCGAAAAAAACCGCAAAATATAAAAATTCACAAAATGAAAGTTCTTTAAATAGAAGTCCGACTATATTTGCATAAAAGCAACATTCGGTTACTAAAACAAGGTATCTGTATAAAAAAAAAATTTATTTTTCCACTCCAGCACTTAAGAGCCATATATTTGCAAAAAGATAATATATCTTAATATATTTGCATAAAAACAACATTGAGATATAAAAACAATGTTTCCGCTTAAAAAAATAATGTACGTATTTCTATAAAAGTAATGCAGCTACATAAATGCAATTTTTCTGCATAAGGAAAAAAATGTTTTTACTTAATCCCAAATTGATTGTTTTTAATAAATATAATATAAGATTCAGCAACCCTCAAGTCACCATAATTAATTAATATTCTTACTTAAACAAGACATAACTACTGTTGCAAAAACGAAGTATTTTGCAGTGATGTAAAAAATATCATTATGAAAAAATTTGTAGGGATTTTATGATTAGACAAATGTGATATTTTCTTGTATTGGCTACCACTTTAGTTTTAAAATATCGCTTTCAACTTAATCACTTATAAGAGCATAAATGTTGTTAATATATTATGGTTAATACGAATGTATCATTTTTCCTAGATAAATTTCAAGAATGAATTGAATGAGTTAACATTTTTGGGGACAGTGCTTCTTAATGGAATAATATTTTATTTAGAATCTTTAAAAATGTTACATACAGAAATTTTATTGATATTTTCTTTAAGTGAAGATGTATACCAAATTTTGAATTACAAATAAGAAATGATATTGTGTGAGCTATTATAACGGTTAAGATTTAAACAATGAAAAAAAGAAACATTTTAAAGTTTAAAGGCACTAAATGCAATAATAATAATTCTATTAATTTCAACTATGATTTATTCAAAATATTTATTGTATACAGTAAATTATTTTTTTAATATGAAAAAATTTAAAACCTTAATTTTTGATCACATCTAACTATATTTTCTGTAATAAAAATAATTTAAATTACTCAAAGAACTTTAAAAGAAAAAATCTGTTAAAAATATAGCTTTCTCAATCAAAAAATAAAGCTAAAAAAAAGCTTAAAAATAAGGCTCAAAATCAAAAGACAAGTATTACAGCTTTGCAAAATTACGAGAGCTGAAAGCAATCTAAATATTTTTTGCAAACTCAGGAATAAATAAGCTCAATTTTCACGTTTCAGTGATAGTTTATATTTTTAAATGTGTAAAACAAAATCAATGTGCATAATTAAAAATAATTATCATATAAATAATTATTATATAAATAATTATTACATAAATTCTGACACTGTCCGTAACCGAAATATTGTGGGGAAAAAAAAGAAATTCTTCTTTGTTTTGAATTTTTTAGAGTATACGGATTCAATAAAAACAAAGAATAGACGGCTTGAGTTTCAGCGTTTCATTAACAGACACGAAAGCCAAAAATACATAAAATATAACTAGATTATTTGAAAAATATTAAATCTATTAATAATCTATTTACAGATAACGTCAACTAAATTAGTATGTTAAAGCATAAAATGACTAATACTTTGCGTTCTTTGTCCAAGTCTATAAAATTAATCTATTTTTTTTTTAGGAACAAAAACCATATTGGACTTCAATTTTCACTTTTATTAACAGTCAAAAAATAAATTAATAAATAAATAAATAAAAAAAATACCGAATATATAATGATATTAATATGATAATTATGCATGTAATGATTTATAATAGTAGTATTCTGAAAAATTAAAAACCTTAATTGTACGTATTTTTTTAGAACAAAGAATAGGCAACATCAGTTTTTATGTTTCATTAACAGTCGTAAAAGTATACGAAAAAAGATGGAAAACATAATTGCATTATTGTTTAATAATAATATTTTATGTAATAATCAAATCATATAAATTACAGCAGCATTTTGAAGAATGAAACGCATTATTTGTTGCCCAATTTATTATAAGTAAATAGAATCAATCCAAGTATTTTTGCAGAACAAAGATTAGACGACTTAAATTATCACGAAGTCATAAAAACAAAAAAAATACGTAAAACATTCAAAGGTGCTGACATCTATCGACTTTTGCGGAAAATAAACTCCGATGTTATTGGAAACACATTAGACCGGAAAATTCCTCCGAAGCGCATTAAAACAGAACTTTAAAATGAGCATCAATAAAAAGAAGCTGCCGCCGTTTTATGGCCGTTATTTACTTCATGTCTTCAGCCATACGTACATCGAATTATTTTAATTCATTATTTTGAAAACGTAAAAAAAAAGAAAGAAAAAGCTATCAAGTGTGTTTTTACAGCTTTCTAAACAGCATAATTTTATTTTCCCTGTTAATGTATTGAATATACCTTGAAGGGGTAAAAAAAAAAATCATGTCGCATTAAATTTAACTACCTTTTCCCAGAAATTTATGACGCAATTTTTCTAACACAAATTTGTGGCTTGTTATTAACTGAACTAATAATATTTGAAATATATTAATTTAATTAGACTTTTAATTTTGTAATTAAGAAAGAAAAATCAATACGTTTCGAAGAAAATTAAAAGGCTGATTACACTATTATGAGTATTTTTTCTCAAGTTAAAGCATATGTTTCACTTATGCTGTTTTACATATTTATCGTTAACGTTTTTGTTAATATATTAGTTTAATAAACATATTTAATAAAAAGAACTAAATTAAATAATAAACTCCCTAACGGGAAAAAAAAACATAGTTTTTTTTATTTATTTTTTTAAATTTTTTTTTTAGTTTTGAGGAAACAACATTTTGAAGTTTGAATTCATATACCAAAAGAAATGTAACAAGCGAAAATATAATTTTAATGATTATTCATTTCTTATTGGATCGAATTAAATGGGTTTCTTAGTAGTACAAAAACAGGCGTAACTATGCTGCGCAGAACTCAAAATAACAACCTTTGCTGTCATTTATGAACAAGGGTAAGTAAAATTCATTATTGCTAGAAACAATGTCTGATACAAAATTTAAAAAAAAGAAATACGAGTAAATTACACACGTGAATTGTGGCGTGGACTAACTAGATTAATCTAATTCACCCTGAATTAGAAAATATAGGTATAGTTCGTTCATCAGGGGTTGGCACTTGGCTCCACCTCCTCGGACGAAGATTTCACTTCAGTGTGGAAGTAAGAGGAGAAACGTCTCCGCTCTTGAAATTGAGACAACCCTTTACGCGCGCCAAACGCGAACAGTGATTTATTTTTAAGTCACTTACTTCGTTTTATCACCTGCTATTATACCTGTTGTTAATCTAGCTAATTAAGTGTATTGCAGCAAAATGTCTCAAAAAGGACAAACTATTCACTCAAAAAATCATCAAATTTATGAAATATTTAATGTTAAAAAACACATTAAGATTGCGAAATAAATATTTTTGTCTTACGATAGCCAAACAGCAACCTTGCTCAAGATTGTCTACATACTTCTACCAAAAATAGCGAAATAACATTGTCGGATACCACGGGATGAAGCAACACCTCCTTGAAAAGAGTAGGCCTCTGCACGGGTTACCATAAATATCCTTTAGTAGTCCAAACGTAATGACATATGCCGTATTTTCAACCACTGCGCAGCTTAGTACCCTGAACGTAATGACATATTTCTTATTTTTCGTCTACTACGCAGTTAACTTCGTCACATCGGACTACTAAATTGATCCGTGCTGAGGCCTTTCTACTTCTAGGAGGTGTTGGATGAAGGCGGAGTCAAGTGCCAACTCTTTGTGAACGAACTACTACTATTAGTATATTCCCCCTTCCGAAAAACGTTCTCAATGAAGTTTTTACGGTTAAGAAAATCTTCGGCCGCAGCACAGGATTATGTGATGGGACATACTTCGTTTGTAAAACTAACTTGTTAAATGATAATTAATATTTAATTTAATTCGTGCAAGGGTCGTTTCACCGAATCCTTCTGATTCCCCCCTTTTTATGGGCGTGGTGAGGATCTATACCATACCATCAAGTCATAGACTAGATTGGCAGTCTTTGTCACTTCAGGATGAGCGATGATAATCGCCAAATGAGGGAAGGTTGTTACGGAAGTGACCAGTATATTCGTTTGTAGTCGTCTGTTGCAGAAGTCAATTCTGGGGGGATGAAAGATTATAAACCCACTTTCCTGGAATGTGTGCTTTATTAATTGTGTGCTGATAATTTGGTTGAAATAAAAAAAGAAACTAAATCTGAAAACCTTTTTTTTTAAAGTTTGTATCATAT